ATCTTATATATGGCCGTCAGCGTCTTAAACATTGTCTGTTGTCGTTGGCCATCAACGACGAGCAGATGGATGCATTTGCTAACGATAGTATGATCAAGATCGGTTTGTTTACATTTCAGAAGCAAATCATCCAGTGGTTTTTTTAAAGAATTGTAATTGATCATAGGAGCATTGCTAGACGAGGGTTTACTACTCGATGTAAAAGCTCGGAAGGTTATGGGAAAAGAGTTGCGAAATTATGAGACTCAAGCGATCGTATTCGAAGACAAGGGTTTGGAAGTGGCGAGGGTAAGAACGAGAACCAATTCAAATTTGTTTTATCTCATCTTCGCAATTCCTATAATCACCATATGGTTGGGATCAACTTTGCGAATTTCAGATATCCCGCATTGGCGATTACATCTCGCGTCGACTAAACATCACGGTTGACAGTGGAGAGTTTCTTCGCATGGTTTACGTGGAAACGAATGTTGATCGAGTTCTTGCTCGAACTATTGACAATTTGTTAGATGGGAAAGATGTACCCAAATGCCTGCGAGAGGCGGTCAGAGGATCAGACTTAGTGTAAATAGTCATGAAAGAATGCTGCCATGTCTCATTTTGATAAATTCCATACTGCCTTTCATCTATATAGGTTTATTTCCTGATGCTTCTAAACTATGATTGTACCGGTTAAGCTGTGTGATAAAGTACTGCTGTGTTTGAAGGTTGAAAATCCTGTGTGGAAGAGCTTTCATCTACGCAATTCAAAAAAGAAAAAACCGCTTACGGCCTACTCACTCCCCAAAGTAACTAACTGTAGGTCTTGTTCGGATTCAATTTGAATCGATATTTTTATGTTGTTGATTCTGGTTTTTTTTAAATAAAAATTACATTAGCAAATACTTCAATGTAGGTAGCAGAGCGATATAACTGCTCGCTGTCGCTAAAATGAACCAGGACTCAGAAAAAGGAAATGCCTCATGAAGAAATATGAGGTAAATCGGGTGTAAAAAAAATTTTAAAACGAGAAAGATTTGATTCCATCGGGGTTGTTCTTGAAAAAGTCTTTATTAGCGCAACACGAGTGATT